TATGTTACACAACATATGTCTTGTTATTTTTATTAACACATAAAAGTCATACTTCGATTTTTTCACAAATATACGTGTGTATATAAATATTAATTGTGCAAAAATCAAAGTTGCATGCAAATTTGCCGTGCATACATTTTCTTAACCTCGATTATAGTCTAATTTTAATTTTAGTTATTAGTCAATTTGTATTTATTAAAAAAAACTCTATATGTCCTAAGAGCAGTGAGATGGTTGGTACGCGTGAATGTGCATACCAACCATCTACTTGCTCTTAGGATAAGTAGTGATGTTAAAACCCATTTTGGTTTACTTAGCAATAAGTCAAGAAAAAATGTATATTTAAAATATATATATTGACAAGATTATATTGTGCAAGGGGAAAAATAAATATAATATAGATAATATTCAAAACATGTTATAAGAATTAAATTATTATTTAATATAACTTTTACATTTGCAATTTTATGTTACTCTAAACGCTAGAAAAAAAAAGTTTCCAAAAGACACAAAACGATATGAAATGTTTGTGTGATTGTTGTCCAGCAATAAAACTGTATATGTATAAAAATGTAACGCTACATAATAAGTTTTCCAAATACACAAAATGATATGAATTGTTTGTGTGATTGTTGTTAAACACTAAAACTGTATATGTATAAAAACATAACGTTTACATAATGTATAAGAAATTAATCAATACTTCAATATTACAACTAATTATGTCTATAAAAAATTATACTTGCATATACATGCGGGCCAACCATAAAAATTAAATAAATTATTATATATTTTAATGTTTTGAATTTATTTAGTTATTTATACTTTTTATCTAATGAAGTATTTTAAAAATCTGGTTTAATATTTTTTTATCTTCAATTTCTATTGAATTCTATAATATTTTTCATTTAATTTATTGTTATTTTTTATTATTAAATATTTATATAATATTATTATTAATACATAATTAAGCATATACAAATAAATCATCTTCAATATATAATATTAATCATATATTTAACATATAAAATATTTTATAGTCTGCATACGGTGCAGACCGATCACCTAGTGTATACTTAAAATATATATATTGACAAGATTATATTGTGTAAGAAGAAAAGAAAGCATAGTATATATAATATTCAAACAAATAACTAGAATTCAATTATTATTTAATACAACTTTTATTTTTGAAATTACATGTCACTTTAAACGCTTAAAAAAATAAAAAAAAATTCGAAAGATACAAAACAATATGAAACGTTTGTGTGATTGTTGTTAAACACTAAAACTGTATATGTATAAAAACATAACAATTGCAAAATGTATACGAAAATTAATAAATACATAAATATTATAACTAATTATGTATATTAAAAAAATTATACATGTACACGCTTGCGGACCAACCATAAAAATTAAATAAGTTATTATATATTTTAATATTTTTAGTTTATTTAGTTACCATATTTATATTTTTTATTTAAGAAAGTATTTTAAAATTTTGATTAATATTTTTTTATTTTCAATTTCGATTGAAATCTATAATATTTTTCATTTGAGGTATTTTTATTATAAATGTTTACATAATTAATAATATATTAATAGAGTATCTTTAATATATAATATTAATTATATATTGAACTTATAAAATGTTTTATAACCTGCATACGGTGTGGACCAGTCACCTAATTGTACTTAAAATTCAGTCATTCCGACGATCATATTTATTGAAAATAAAGATTGGTCCAAGTTATTTCATTAAAACGAATTCCAACATCTAATTATAATTATAATTATGATCAATGAGTCAGATCATATGAGATTGATTGAGTCCTTAATCAAGAGTTTAGAATCTCTTGATGGTGATCAAGACAATGATAGTCGGGCTTGATTCGGAATGTGAATTCTGAGTTGTGCAATCTGAGTATATCAACTTGGAGGTTGACTTGCATTTCAATTATTGTTTTAATTAGCATGGCAGCCAACACTTCAATGTTTGATCTTTTGAAACTCGGTGAATTCTTCGGTTTGGGTGTTCTACTCCCCTATGACTTTATAATAAACAAATCAAGTTTCTCTTAATTTTATACAACTTTGAAACAAACAATTTTTCTGGATATTTGCCCTAGCTAGAAATGATAGATGGTTTAGTAGTAATAAATATGTCTCTAACATTAGAAAAAACAAAAGCTCTCGGACAAATGTTATTTTACAAGTAGATTAGCTGGAGTAACAATTAATTAGCGGCCGCGTTAAAGCATTTTATGCTTTCGGAGCGTGGATGCAGACAAATTAGGGGCACTTGTTAATACGCTTAGTTACATAATTAGTTACCCTATTAATATGTTCAATGAATTTTTTAATCGCCGCCTGCAAAATGCTTCGTATCTAATCCTACAAAACAAATAACAGTAAACATTATATTAGTGCTAATATGAGTAATTTAATGTATTGGTCAAATTTTTTTATAATGTTACTGTAAGTTTCATCTAAACTTTGTGGATTTCTTAACAAAACCGATTGATTTAATATTGGTAGAGGTATTTATATGAATGGGACGGATTTGAATATCGTGAAAGTTTACATTATCCATATTAGGAACCGAACTTTATTATTCAGATTCGGATCGAAATTTAATTATTCGGATTTGAATCCATAGTTTATAAGATTTTGAACATTTGTCTAAACACTAAAATATTTGATATTTTTTTATATCTTAAATAAAGAATTAAAACATTTCAAATTGATATTTCATTCTCTTTTCTGTTGTTGATGTACGAATTTGTGATTTTAGAAATATTTTCTTTCGGACACTGATAAAGTACCACCTCCGGATACTACTAGTCTACTGCTGAAACAAAATCTTTAAAACAAAGGTATCTTATCAACTTATCGTATGTACAAAACTTTAAATGGGGAGTAAAAAGAGGTCAAAATCTAAAATATACTCCGGTTTACATTTATAGCTCCTGACTATCCTTCATGTGAGTGTTTTATTTTTTTATAAACAATCTTTGATGCTGCTCACCTCCCAAAACGCACCCACCACCTCTGTCTTGGTAATGTAATTTTGATTTTTACGTATCGTTTTAACTAATTATAGTTCTTTTAGGCTTACGACAGTTTCTTTAATCAATCGACAATTAAAATGAAAAAAACCATCCCATAATCAAAGAAACACGACACGAACAAAAGGGGCTTCCCTCCAAACTCACTTTTAAGTTTTTAACTTTCACCGTCTCCCATGCTGCCTCTCATCACTTGTGCGTTCCCTATTTTATATACTCCTGCTTAGTTTATTTATTACAAGAAAATTGGTTAACATTAATTTGTCAGGCTATAATATACTAATAGAATAGGTTTGTAGTATTCTTCAAAATTAAAGTATTGTCAACAATAACTTCTCGATACTTCATGCATATTTCAACTAAAATCAACTTCTAACTTAAGAGGGTCTTGAAACTTGGTTCTTACTTGAGGATAAAGCATTCTGACAGAAAGTTTATCTCATTAAATTAGTTCTGCAACTCATTCAAAACTTTGTAAAAACATTTTTTTGTTTGAATAAATTTTACATTTATTCAAAAAAAAAAATTTTAAAATAAAAACATTTTCCTTCAAAATATTACCTCATATCTCTTCCTTTATAAGATGCTTAGAAAAAATGTTTTATTATATTTGATTGTTTCAAATTTTGCATGTAAAAGTTAAATTTATTTGATCTTTGTGACCACTTGCACTATGCATTATTTTTATCATTAGTTGAATTGGTTTTAATTAGATAATAAATGATGATTTCTATTCTTTTTGACAACCTTTTTTTTACAACAAATGATGATTTCTATTCAAAACAAAATTTTATGTGTTTTTCTAAATTTTGAGCTTTTAGCCACACAAAAACTTATAGTATAATTGAACTGAGGGGGTAATGTTTCACTATTATTCTATTTCGAACTGATACAATGTTGAGGTTTTATGGAGTTTTAGTTTAAATTCAACTGACCATAAATGAACTGATTCATAATCTCTATAAACTACTTTATGTCATTTCTAATTTTTGACGTGGGATCATAACAATAACTTAACCCTTGTCAAAACATTCTTGTTCACTAAATAAACAAAAAATTACGATGTTAATATTTTATTTCATCTCTTATTAACCTCGCTGGTTTTTTTTTAATATAAAACATTAACTTCACTATGCTATTAGACCACTCTCATTTAGTAACGGATATAGTTTGTTATTACTATTTGAAGTTAGGAAGGTTCACAAGTGAAAACATTCACAAAGTGAACGAAGATCACTAAGATCAGTATTAGTTTGCCTCTTATCAACAGAAATAACTCATGCATACCGCAAACCAATTATATCATCACTTTTTTTCCTTTTTAATCTCGTAGTGTATGGATATATCTACTTTAAAGAGTTAAAAAGAGAGAGTGAGTAAGAAGATCCAACGGTTGGGAGCAACCGACAAAAGGGAGAAGAAGATGGGAGAAGGAGACAAGAGCAAATAACATGTATTGTTACCTTGTTAGCTACATGGCTTCGTGGTTTGATTTTATCATCAAAACCACTAAAATATATGTGGACGTAACATTGTATATATACATATATAATAACTCAGTTGCTTATACGTTACAACTAAGATTCTTTTTTACGAAAATCCAAATCTTCTTTATCTTGAACATAATTTTTTTTAAGTTTTCTTCACTTTATCAATGATAAATCTATAATATACGTTCAGAAATCGAACATGCGAGTAATATGGGCATTAGCGTTGATACATTGCGCATTAATGAAACTGTTTTCTTTCAAATATTAAAATGTATAAATTGTTTTTTAAACTGATGTAAATTCAGGAAAAAAAAAATTTTGATAAATTTCTACAAAATCATTGGTCCGTGAATAACTTTATAAAAAGCATAACATAATAATTAACTTAAAAAAGAAACCTTGGGTTTGTGAAAATTTTATAGAATTGTTTATTTTAGAAATGTATGTTAAAAAGTTTGAATATTTTCAGAGAGTATTGTAGTAATACAGTAGTGTTTATATATATTTTGTATACACATTGCACACACATCCACGAAAAAACGGAAGAAAATCCGGTGGCGCCCAAATCACTGCACTATAATAATTTAAAAACTTTATAATAATATAATAAAGCTATGAGTAATCAAAGCTTATTACTATTAGTCTTCCCAAGGCAACAACAATAAACGAGAAGAAAGAGACAGAGAGAAAAAAAAGTGAAACTCAAAAGTCCAACGTCGCCTTCATCATCAACCTCATAGCTCCGTCGCAGCCACCATTACCACCACCGTCGCCGGATGCAGTTTCAATCTCTTTCCCCCCGGCCAGAGAGTTCCCCATGGGAGAGAGTGTGAAGACCTCACATGGTTATTATCTACAGTTATTGCTCTTGATGTTCTTGTACTGCAATGGTTTAGTGTAAACCCTAAGCAATCAGAAGCAAAGCCCTTACACATGCTTCTTGTCTCCTCAAGGTTCAACAACAAAAGATAAGATAACTTTGTTTTTCTTCCCCATCCTCCATTACACCACCATCAAACACCAATTGAATCTCTAGTCATTTCATCACCAGAGATTCGATGGCGAAAGAACCAATTCATTTTCCTTTCAGCTATTTCTTCATCATAAAGTGGCAATCTTTCGATTGTAGCAGCAAACAGTTGAATCTTTTCTTCTTGTTATTGTTCTTTTGTTGTTCATGGGTCTCCATGGCCCAACCCACTATTTCTCTTTCATCAGACGGCCAAGCTCTTCTCTCTCTCAAGAGACAATCACCACCGTCCTCTTCTTCATCACTCTTCTCCTCATGGGACCCACAAGACCAGACACCATGTTCATGGTATGGCATTACATGTTCTGCAGACAACAGAGTGATTTCTGTCTCTATCCCCGACACTTTCCTTAACCTGTCTTCAATCCCAGACCTCTCTTCTCTCTCCTCGCTTCAGTTCCTAAACCTCTCATCCACAAACCTCTCTGGCATAATCCCTCCTTCTTTTGGGAAACTCACCCACCTCAGGCTTCTCGACCTTTCTTCAAACGCTCTCTCTGGTCCAATCCCATCAGAGCTTGGCCGCCTCTCTTCCCTCCAGTTTCTCATTTTGAATGCCAACAAGCTCTCTGGCTCAATCCCTTCACAGATTTCAAATCTATTATCCTTGCAAGTTCTTTGTCTTCAGGACAATCTGTTGAATGGTTCGATTCCTTCAAGTTTAGGCTCTTTGGTCTCTCTTCAGCAGTTCAGGCTTGGTGGTAACCCTAATCTCGGAGGACCTATCCCTGCACAGCTAGGGTTTCTGACGAATTTGACAACTTTAGGGTTTGCAGCCAGTGGTTTGTCAGGTCAAATCCCTTCCACATTTGGGAACTTGGTAAATTTGCAAACTTTGGCTCTGTATGACACTGAGATCTCTGGTACTATCCCACCTCAACTGGGTCTGTGCTCAGAGCTCAGGAACTTGTATCTGCACATGAACAAGCTCACTGGATCCATCCCAAAGGAACTGGGTAAGCTCCAGAAGATCACTAGCTTGCTCCTATGGGGGAATTCTTTATCTGGGGTCATCCCACCTGAGATTTCCAATTGTTCTTCCCTCGTGGTGTTTGATGTTTCGGCCAACGATCTATCCGGTGAGATTCCTGGAGATTTGGGGAAGCTTGTTTGGTTGGAGCAGCTTCAGTTGTCTGATAATATGTTCACGGGTCAGATTCCTTGGGAACTAAGCAACTGTTCCAGTCTCATTGCTCTACAGCTGGACAAGAACAAATTATCAGGTTCCATACCCTCCCAAATCGGAAACCTGAGGTCTCTGCAGAGCTTTTTCTTGTGGGAGAACTCTGTTTCAGGAACAATTCCGTCTTCTTTTGGCAACTGCACGGACCTAATCGCCCTGGACCTCTCAAGGAACAAGCTCACAGGCAGAATCCCAGAAGAGCTCTTCAGTTTAAAGAGGCTCAGTAAACTTCTCCTTCTCGGAAACTCCTTATCCGGTGGACTACCAAAGAGCGTAGCGAAATGCCAATCGCTTGTGAGGCTAAGACTCGGTGAGAACCAACTTTCAGGTCAGGTCCCTAAAGAGATTGGCGAGTTACAGAACCTGGTGTTTCTTGATCTCTACATGAACCATTTCTCTGGTGGCCTTCCTTACGAGATCTCTAACATCACTGTGCTTGAGCTCTTAGATGTGCACAACAACTACATCACCGGAGATATCCCTGCTCAGCTAGGGAACCTAGTGAATCTTGAGCAGCTTGATCTTAGCAGAAACAGCTTCACCGGAAACATATCTCTGAGTTTCGGCAACTTCAGTTACTTGAACAAGCTGATCCTCAACAACAATCTCCTCACTGGCCAAATCCCTAAGTCAATCAAGAATCTGCAGAAGCTTACACTGCTTGATCTAAGCTTCAACAGCTTATCAGGCGAAATCCCACAGGAACTCGGCCAAGTCACGAGCTTGACTATAAATCTGGATTTGAGCTACAATGCCTTCACGGGAGACATCCCTGAAACCTTCTCAGGCCTCACGCAGCTGCAATCGCTCGATCTCTCACGCAATATGCTTCACGGTGACATCAAAGTCCTCGGTTCACTCACGAGCTTAGCTACTCTCAACATCTCCTGCAACAACTTCTCTGGTCCTATCCCAGCTACACCGTTCTTCAAAACGATCTCCGCAAGTTCTTATCTCCAGAACACAAATCTCTGTCACTCAATCGACGGCATCACTTGCTCATCACGCACTGGTCCCAAAAACGGAGTCAGATCCCCAAAGATCGTAGCTTTAATCGCTGTGATCCTCGCTTCAATCACCATCGCCATCCTCGCCGCTTGGCTTCTCGTCTTACGCAACAATCACCGCTACGCAACTCAGAAATCAGCGATGATGTCTTCTTCTTCTCAATCAACAGCAGAGGATTTCTCGTACCCATGGACATTCATCCCGTTTCAGAAACTTGGAATTAGTGTCAACAACATCGTGAATTGCCTAATCGACGAGAACGTGGTCGGAAAAGGCTGTTCGGGAATCGTCTACAGAGCGGAAATGCCGAACGGAGAGACCATTGCGGTGAAGAAGCTCTGGAGAACTAAAGATAACGACGGAGGGGGAGGAGAACACACGGCGATCGATTCTTTCTCGGCGGAGATCCAGATCTTGGGTAACATCAGGCACAGGAACATCGTGAAGCTTTTGGGTTACTGCTCTAATAAATCAGTGAAGCTGCTTCTCTACAATTACTTCCCCAACGGGAATCTCCAACAATTGCTTCAAGGAAACAGAAACTTGGATTGGGAAACTCGTTACAAGATCGCGATCGGATCCGCTCAAGGTCTCGCTTATCTTCACCACGATTGCGTTCCGGCGATTATCCACAGAGACGTGAAGTGCAATAACATTCTTCTGGATTCCAAGTACGAAGCGATCCTCGCCGATTTCGGGCTCGCGAAGCTGATGAATTCGCCGAATTATCACACCGCCATGTCTCGAGTCGCTGGCTCCTATGGCTACATCGCACCAGGCAAGTTTTTCCAATCCGGTTTACGGTTTAGTTTCGTTTGGTTTCTTACGTTTATAAATTTTTGGGTTCCATTAATTAAATCGATATAAAATCATTTGACATTTGTTCTAGTTTTGGTTCGGTTTGTGATAATTTCGGTTTGATTTTTGTTTATTTACAGTATTTCGGTTTGGTTCCAATTGTTTTAGTTCGGTTCGATTGGGTTTTGGTTTCCCATTGTAACAAAAGATTGGTTTTTTTAACAATTATGTCAAAGCTCAGGGTTTCATTTGTGAAATCATGCAGAATACGGATACACGATGAACATAACAGAGAAGAGTGACGTGTACAGCTACGGCGTCGTTTTGCTAGAGATTCTGAGTGGCCGGAGCGCCGTGGAGCCACAGATCGGCGACGGGCTTCACATAGTGGAATGGGTGAAGAAGAAGATGGGAAGCTTCGAACCAGCTTTATCTGTGCTTGACGTGAAACTCCAAGGGTTACCAGATCAGATTGTTCAAGAAATGCTTCAGACACTTGGGATCGCGATGTTCTGTGTGAATCCGTCACCTGTGGAGAGACCGACGATGAAGGAAGTTGTGGCTTTGTTAATGGAGGTTAAATGTAGTCCCGAGGAATGGGGAAAAACATCGCAGCCTCTTATAAAGCCTTCTTCATAACCAAACGGTGAATTGTTCGTTCCTTCTTCTTCTTCGTGTTTCTTGATTTAGGTCAATCTGGTTGAGAAATTTGTTGGCAGGTTTTGATTTCTTGTACATATTTAGAAGTATCAATGTACTAGTTTGAATTCATGTCGTATTCAATTACAATTCGGAAACACTTTAGCTTTTGGGATTTCAGAAATCAGAGATTTGATTTCAATAAGGTTCTAAGCATTGGATTTTAGATTTTGGTTACAACTTTGGATTACATCATTTGGTGTTTGATTGCAAGATTTGGGGTTTTCGAAGCCAGTATTGTCTGTATCTCTGCCTTGAGTACTCTGCGTAATCAAATTCGATCTTGTTCCTATATCCCTGTACAATCACATTCACATTTCAAGAACATTTTCTCAGAAACGCTCTATTACACTATATCTGGATTGGGAAAAGGAGCAAGAGAGGAAAAGAACTTACAGAGATGATTCCCCATAAGCCCCAGAAGAGATGGCTTGCTAATGTATACTTCACAGCATCTTCCAAGAGCTGTTTTATATCTTCTTCCTTTGGTTCATAGCCTAACAAAAGAAGAAGGTGTGTTTATGAATAGAAGAAGAAGCAACGTCCTCAAGATTTGTTTTGAAGTTAGAAGAAGGAACGTCTTTGAGAAGAAAATGTTGTCGATTCTTTGAGAATCTGACCTGAAGAGCTGAGATAGTTATGGATAAATCTCCTCCGCTCTTCTTCTCCTGCAATTCGCAAACCGAACGACTCAGAAACAAAATGTATATGTTGCTTATGATGCTAAACCGGGTTAACCAGCGAGTACCTACCAGGGTAGAGAGTGTAAAACAAGATATGAGGAGTGTCAGAATAATAATTTGCCGCCATTTCACAGAAGTGATTTGCTATGTCGTAAGCAACTGGGTTATAACTAGCGTACTCGTAGTCCTGTTAGAGAATCTCACGTTGGTCCATTGCGTGATGATGATATTTTTGAAAGGGTAATGAGAAAAAAAAAAACTTACAATGATAGTAATGGCATTGGTGTCTTCATCAATCATGATATTACATACTGCAAATCATTGTGACAAAACCCAATCTCCTGCTTCTTATAATCCCAATACAGTAGCTCATGTTCCAGCAAGTTGATCTCAGCTTCGATGTTGTGTAGACCAAACTCTGCGGAATCTTCAGCTGTACACATACTTTTGGCTTGTCCAAGCCAATTCCTGTTTTGAAGATTATGTTATTGATTTGACCACTTCATGATTAATATATGGAGAAAGAGATTACTCACCTCATTCTATCCCATAGGAACACATTTCTATCTCCGGGAATGTTTATACCGTGGAATTCTCTTATCTTTGCCGCAACGAGAGCAGATACTTCCGGTTCACGCGATAAAGTCTGTTCAAAAGTTATAAAAGATAGATCAAATCATGGTGATGAATCAAAATTTGCATCAAGAGCACCTCATTCCATAGAAAGCTAAACCGGGCATATCTCTATTGGTATTTTCTGGTTCAGTATTGACCCAAAAACAAACCACAGTCGAAGATTCTTAGAGCATGTTCAATGGAAGTATCTTAAGTAATATCTTAGTATTAAATTATTCAAAAAAAATAAAAATCATGAAAAAGAAAGGAGAATCAGCTCTTATATAGGGGGACTTAAGAACATGTACAATGGTAGAATTCTTAAATCAAGTATCTTAACTATTATTTTATTATAATTTAAGATATATATTTAAATTTTAATATTTAAAAGGAATTATGCCAATCAAAATAAGACAATTGTATAAGTGAGTTTCTTAAAAGCTTAAGATCAGCTCTTATTTGAAAGATTTTAGAACTTTCTCTCTCATGTTTCTTCTAACTTTTTATTTTTTTCCTTTTTTTAATACTAAGATACTTCCCATAAGAAACTCCATTGCATATAGTCTAAGAAACCATTCTTAACTTTTTCTAACACATGTCATTTAGTTATTTGTTCATTTTCTTTGAAAAATCATGAGAAATAATGGTTTTTTTAATGTTTAGATACTCAAATTAAGAAATTTAGCATTGCACATGGTCTTATACTCAAAATCCAGAGTAGACACTGCTATTACAATAGGTTTGGTGGATTGAACAAGAAACTAAACCGGAATGTAGAGGAACCTGGCATTGGTATATCATGGTTCGACATTGACCCAAAATCCAAACTGTCCTAAACAAATCAAACCACAAACAAAGGTTCCTTTCCTTACACTCTCAAACCCGGGACAAGACACTCTCAATTGGAGTTACAATGGGTTTGATGGATTATTGCACAAGAAATTAAACCGAAATGTAGAACTGAACATACCCAGGCATTGGTATTTCACGGTTTGACATTGACCCAAAATCCAAAATCTCCCACTGTACATTGCTATTTATTTCCCTTAAAATAGAGAGAAATTCTAAAATAGAGGTAGATCTCTCTCTAATGTGTTTCTCTATTTTTTTTCTAAAAAAGAACATTATTATAATATTTTTTTCTTATTTATTAGTAACACTTTTTGTTTCTAAAATTCATAAATTAACCTTATCTATTTTATTTTTACAAAAACTTTCATAAAATTATAATAATATTAAAATAAAATATTTATTATACAAAGACATTACATTACATCATATAAAACATAATATATTTTAATTTATAAATTTATATAGGACTAAATTTGAAATGAAAAATTTTATATTTAATTCTATTATATGTTTTCAAAATTTTAATTATATATTTAGTCATATTATACATTGGATAGATGATTGTTCACTTATTATATAAAAATAAGTTATATAAACAATTAATTAAATTTATATATTTATTATACAAATAAAAATAAAAGATTTAAAAGTTGAAGGACTCATTTACAAATATAAAAGATAATCTCTATATTAGAGAAAGAAATAGAGTTCCTCCAAATATAGAGGAAAAAATAGCATTCTCTATTTTAGAGGAAAAAATAAAGGTGGATTGGAGAGAATTTTCCTCCAAACTATTTTTTCCTCTAAAATAAAAGTAGATTGGAGATGCTATAATCAAAGATCCTTATACTCAAATCCAGACCAGACATTGTCGTTGCTTGGGGTTACAGGTTTTGGTGGATTATTGCACAGGAAAATAAACCGGAATGTAGAGGAGACCGAACATACCCGAGCATGGATAAACTCCTCTATTCTACTCCCAGCAAATCGGCCAAGGAGTCTAGGACCGTGACGGTATCGAGAGACAACCTCGAACGTACGAATCTCGTCTTTCCTGTCAAAGAACAGACCAACTCCTTGGCCATAGACTCGAACCAGAAGCTTCCTGTGGTGAAATTTGTTATCCTTTGTGGGCCAATTCACCATGAAAACTTCGTTAGTCATTGCACCTTTCATGGGCTTCACTTGTAGACTCTCGAGATCTTCCACTACGTCTCCCTATTTTCCAGAAAGTGTTTGAAGTACTTTCTTTAGACTGTCTGGTGATGCAATTGGGATCAAACCTAACACTCCTATGCACATTTCTTTACTCTCTCTCCTCGGCAGTTTTAGTGGTTTCTGTAAGAAGCGACGACAAAAGCTCTCTGCTCTACGAAACATTTGGAATTAAGATGAAAAAAGAAGAAGTAGAAGATCGAGAGAGGGACAGTTTCAATTATAACGACAAGTTGAAGTTGAATTGACCCAAAATCTTATTAAAGCCGTCAAATGTAAGTTATACGCCGGAATTTTAGGCTCATATCTGAAAGATAAAATCCTATATATATATATATATATATATATATGGGTCAAATGGGTAATTATGTTTAATTGCAACACTACAATGTGAAATTCAGTTTCTGACAAAGTTATCCATTTTCTTGAGTTCTGAACAAATGAATTCATACCCAGACTTCCAAAAAGTGAAAGGTACTCTGTTTTTTAAAGTTGCATTAAAAGATCAAACCCAAGATGACCTTGAATTTCTCAACATTTTAGTAAATTTACTGAATCTTGAGCAGTTCTCTCCTGGTTTGTATAATCTTTTATCAAAAGATAGCAAAAGTCTCGCTTCTAGTGTATGATGAATTTTGAATTGACCTTAAGAAAAAATTAGATGAGAAGAACACTACAAGAAATATGCATATTAATAGCATACCAAAAAGGCTATTATAAGGGTTTAATAGCATTTTCATAAATGCTATCACAGCTAGAGCTATAATAACTATCCCTCATATAATAGCATTTGTTTAAAACGCTATCATAAATTATTCTATTATAGCGTTAAAAAATGCTTTAATATATTTTATATTAGCGCATATTAATTGTTATTGTATATTTATTTGTAGCATTGTTTGCTTGCTGTATAAAATATACTTATAACTCTTACCTGATGTTATGATATACTATTTTGTAATTATATATTATTTTATTTATTTTAAATCGTTTTTTTTGCAATAACTAAGAAAATCTATATATAATTTTTATATTTCATAAATCAAACAAAAGATAAATAACAAAATATTATATTAATATTAAAAAACAAGTCTTACATAACATCATACAAATCTTATACTACCATCACACTAAATATTTAAGAATGGATACCAAAACCTCTTTGTACTTGTAAGCTACGAGAAAGGATTTAGCTTGTCCATCTGCTTCCTTGGAGTATTAGACATAAACAGATGCCTCTGCTTCCTAATTTGATCAACGCAAACAGGGACAATAGAAGAATTAATAAATTGGTACAAGAGAAAACAAAGGAGAAAGTGTTCACATACATAGATAAAAGGGATCTCAAAGATACCTTCATAAAGTGTGTCCATGGGAAGAGAGGGCTGAGCAAAGGAGATAGAGTGAGGAGTATTAGTGGTATCCATTATTTGTTCTTCCAGTTCTTGGGAATATGCAGTTTTCTTTTCAATACTACTCTCAAGTGAGAGTCTTTCAGCCTGCAAGAAAACATAAACCTTAAATTCATGAACAATTTTCAAATGAGCTTTGGAACCCCGAAAGTTGGGTTGAAAACCTTTAAATCTTCAATGTCGCTTAAGCTTGTTCAAGGAAGACCTCTCCACTGAATCTCTTTGTGGTTTATCACTGAATCAAACATTCTCAAAGACAAAATGCAGAAAGAATTAAAAAAATGTTACCTTTCTCTTAGTGCTTCCTTTTCTTATCTTTCGGAACGAAGGTCCTTCAGCTTTAGTTATACAATCTGACTTCGCTTTTGCATATTGTATGCGCTGCACATAAAAGATCACACATTGAAACTTTTTTTAAACATATATCAACCTGATTGAAAGTAGTTAAACTAGTTCATACACCCGAAAGAGGCAAGATTTTAATTATACATTGCATATAACAAGCAGCTTAAAGATTATGACAGCACACAACACAAGAGAGTGTGATGAAGGAGGGACTACAACCACCGAAACAGAACAAAATCAAAACAAATTCATACATAACTGATAAAAAATTTGGGAACGCAAGATGGTCACAATCACAGAGACACGCAAAATTTTGATGCTTTTTAGCGATCCAAATAGATTTATATAACAAACAGAAAGATCAATTTCAGGGAGACTATAGAGAGAAGAGTGAAGAAGTTGGTTAGATACTGACCATTGCCTTATCATAGAAGGGGAAATTCTGCATCTGACGAACAGCATTACTAGCAGCAGTAACTTCAGTAAACGCAACCCAAGCTTGTCCCTAGAGCTTTGGAGTTTTCAAAGCAACCACATCAAGTATCTTCCAAAACTGAGAGAACAAACAGTAAAGAGATCTCTTCAGTGTACCTAAAGTTAAATCCTTTAGCAAAGCAAGAAGATAGGAAACATATACATCCAAAACCGAACCAAATGGTCGATTTCGCAGCATCTCTCCACATTATTAAATCGCTGATATTCTCTCTGATCCGCTCCAAATCACCTTGGCAAAATCTTCACCTGATTACATAAGCCGTACACAATTATTGATCAAATATCATAGTAGAAGAAGAAAAATGAGCATGAGCAAGTAACTAGAGGACCTACTTAGATCTGAAGATGGACAAGGAGAAGGTGACGGAGGAACCGAACTGTGTTTCTTTTTCTTAGATAGAACAGTCTTCTTATGTTTTCTGGGTTTTTTTTATCGGTCAAGACAACAATAGGCTCTCGTATCCTCCTTTGTTTCCACCACCACAAAAGAATAGATCCTCTTTCTGAAAATCAAAGATAACAACCACACAAAGATATTTGAAGTTGATTACAAAAAAAATGGAAAACCCTAAAATTTTAAAATTCAGAGAAGAAAGGCACCTAAACTCGCTGGATTTCTAGATGAATCGGGTTTTCCAGAACCATCTTTCCCTTCGCATGCCACGAAACAGTAAACCTGTGGACTGAAGATGCATTTCAGATGCAAATTTGTCTGAGTATTACTGCAATTTGCTCTCCGGTTCTAGGAAATGTGTCCGATAACGATTGAACATCAGGTCTGAAGCATTTTTTATGGGATTTCTGTGAAATTGGATCGATCAATCTCAACTTCGATCTCCATGAGAGGAGGAGCGAAGAATTTAAGAAACCAGAAACGAGGGGGAGAGAGAGAGACGAGGGGGAGAGGAATAAATTGTGGTTTTTTTTTTGGCCAAAGGGATTGTGTTTTCGTAAAAGAGGAAGAGAGGGGAAAAACAAAATTTGGGGGAAAATTTCCACCAAAACCAAACAATAATCTAAGTGTTTAGCGCTTAGTAGTAAAAATTAGGCTCCAATAGTTAATTTTATCTCTTTTTCAAAGAATTTTCAGATTAGCATTTTTAAAATGCTATAAGAGAGTACCCCACCTCAGCACATCAACACAACAATAACACAAGTGTCTCTCCATAGCTTGACACATCAGCATTTTCAAATTTTTAGGAGATGACACTTCAGCAAAAAGAATCATCAATAAAAACATTTCATTAATACAAATCATCAATTTATTTTAACTTTTATATTTAAACCCATTAAAAACTCAAATATTTTTTATTGTTAATTTTAGTTCAACAATAACACAAGTGTCTCTCCATAGCTTGACACATCAGCATTTTCAAGTTTTTAGGAGATAACACTTCAGCAAAAAGAATCACCAATAAAAACATTTCATTAATATAAATCATCAATTTATTTTAACTTTTCAATTTAAACCCATTAAAAATCCAAATAGTTTTTATTGTTAATTTTAGTTTTATTTTTTGGTCAAGCCCAAGCCCAAATAATAACTAACAAAAAAAATTGTTTTATTTTTTTGCCAAACCCAAATAATAAATAACAAAAAATAATAAAATTAAATCTTTGTTTTATATTTTTGCCAAACCGAAACTCAAATAATAAATAACAGCAAAAAAATTAAAATTTATAACTATGTGTTTGCTTGATAGAGACATATATGATTGAAGAAAGTGTAGACTCATCATCAACTATACTTCCATAACAACAATGCAAAAAGCGTTATGTTATAAGAAGCTCACACATCAACAAAAATTTAAACCGATACAAACATAACAATAATACATATTATTAACACACTAATTAAAATCAGTTTACTATTTTGCTGATCCATTAAAAAGCACAAAGTTTACAAAAAAGTGGAGGTCGAAAGCAAATGAGGAGAAACTCAGGCCACCACAACTTGGAGATTCGCATTTCAGTGGTTACCGAGAACAAATTTTCTTGAGTTTGGCGGGAACAGAGAATTTCTTGGTTTTGGTAGAAAAATATGATTTTCAGTTTGGTAGGAAAACATAATTTCTCGGTTATGGCGGAAAAAAGCGAATTCTCGGGTTTGACGGAAAAATATGAATTTTTGGTTTTGGTGAGAAAAAAGAAATTTGATTTTGACAAGAAAATACGAGGGAAATGCAACTTTTCAATTTTGACAAAAAATACTATTTCTCGGTTATGATAAAATATGCAATTTTTCGGCTTTTGATGGATAATGTAATTTTGATTTTCGCGGAAAATTGTAATAGGACAATTTTGGCAGAAAATGCAATTTCTAGGGTTGATAGAAAAACAAAATTTCTTGATTTTGGTGGGAATAAACAATTTCTTGGTTTTGATGGGAAATACAAATTTTTAGTTTTTGACATATAATTTGATTTTTTTGGTTTTCGAAGGAAAATATGATTTCTTAGTTTTCGCAGAAAACACAATTTTTCAGGAGATAATGCAATTTTTAGTTTTCACGGGAAATTGTATTTTATCGGTTTTGGTAGGAAGGTGTGATTATGGATTTGACGAGAAAATTAATTTTTTCTTGTTTTGGTGGGAATAGATGATTTCTCGATTTTTGTGAAAAAATAATTTTTTTGGTTTTGATGGGAAAATACTATTTTTTTGTTTTTGCAGGAAGATGAAATTTTTTGGTTTTTGTGAAAAAACTTGATTTCTTTGTTTTGACGGGAAAACACAGGTTCTCGCGGGAAAATGTGATTTTTTGGTTTTTGAAGAAAAATGCAATTTCTTTGTTTTGGCAGGAAAATGAAATTTCAGGTTTGACGAGAAAATGATTTTTTTTTGGTTTTGGCGGGAATAGGCGATTTCTCAGTTTCGTGGGAAAATAATATATTTTTGTTTTGTCAGAAAATGCAATTTCTCGGTTTTTGTAAAAAGATAAAATTTCTTTGTACTAAGTTTTCTAGTTACAATATGTTTATAGTAACCAAAATTGAATTATTTAACTTCAAGTAAATTGATATTTCAACAGTTCAAATAGAACTTGCTATTTAGTTCTAAAGTCATAGTAATGATTTTGATATGAATGTTATTGATTATAGTTTGTTAGTTTTAGAAACATATGTTTATAATAAAAATTTGATAAATAAATAAATTTTATAATTTATAATAATCATATTAATTAATATTTTTTAAATGGTAATTTGCTTTATATAATTTAAAAGAAGGATCAAGTAGCAATTTAGTAGAGAAAATAAATTATATTTACTATTAGCATGAAGGTACTTAAAAATGTGTTGTTTTATTCTTACATATACATTTACAGATAGTTAGCTAAACAAATTTGATAGTAGATTATAATTTTAAAAAATAAAAAGATTAATGATATATAATGTTTATTTAGATTTAAAACATACAAATACATAACTTAAGCTAATAAAAAATAAATATAATACTTATTTACATTATAGTAAAATAATTTTATTGTATTAAAAATATATACAAATCTAAAAAAATATCCCGCAGCGTAGTGCAGGTAAATACCTAGTTCTCTTTAATAGCACTTAGAAAAATCGTGCTATCTTAAAGTGCTATTAGTACCCATATTTCTTGGGTGGAAGAAGATGAAGAATCTTACCAAGAAAGTTGCAAATAATTCTGAGAAAATTAATGGAGAAAAATATTGGAGAATATCGGTTTATAATTCTGGTTTATGTTGATTAGATTAATTCAGCTTCCTTTTAATTCAGCTTCCTTTTACTGTTTTAGTTAAATCAATTGTACAACATTAGTATTAATACGTTTGTACATACACACTTTTTTGATGAGATGAATAAATATTTTTTCCAACAAACTTCTTCTCTCTCGTTCATCTCTCTTTCGTAATATGGTATTAGAGCCATCGAGCTCAAATTTATGTTGATTTCTCGTTGATTTCATCGTCTTCGAGCTATTTTTTAGTTTCGATCTCTGGATTCCAAGCTACAATGGTGTCTATGAAGAGAATTGTTCCTCGACGATCAGCTCGAGTTGGTTCGACAACAAACTCAGCTTCACTCGGTTCTCCGACGAATCAAGGCTCGGCGAATCGTTCTATACAAGCTCGTGATGCTGCAGACACCTCCGATTCTATTCACTCACCATTTTTCATGCACAGTTTTGATCATCCAGGTTTGCAACTCATCGCTATTCGTCTTGATGATACAAACTATGATGATTGGAACGCTGCGATGTTGGTTGCCTCATCCTGCTAAATCCGACTTTAATTTCCATTTGTGGTCTAGATGCAATAGTCTTGTTAAGTCGTGGTTGCTTAACTCAGTTTCTCCCCAGATCTATCGTAGTGTTTTACGTATGAATTATACTACTGATATCTGGAAGGATCTACACAGTCGCTTTCATTTGACCAATCTTCCTAGAACTTTCAACATCACACAAGAGATCCAGGATCTTCGTCAGGGGTCCATGTCACTATCTGAATACTTCACTACTTTGAAGACGTTGTGGAGCAATTTGGAGAGTGTTGAAGAACCTGATGATCCTTGTACGTGTGGTAAGGCAGCTCGTCTGCAACAGAAGGCAGAGAGAGCTAAAATCGTCAAGTTTCTAGCTGGTTTGAATGATTCATATGCGATTGTTTGTGGCCAGATCATTATGAAGAAGGTGCTTCCTACACTTGCTGAGGTTTATAATTTGCTTGGTCAGGATGACAGTCAGAAAGGTTTCTCTGCTGTTGTTCCTCCTGCTGCCTTTCAAGTCTCTGAGAGCAACTCTGTTTCACCTTCTTATGAGGTTATCTGCTATGTTCAATCGGATCCTAACAAGGGACGTCCTATTTGCTCTTACTGCAACAAAGTTGGCCGTATAGCTGAGAGATGCTACAAGAAGAATGGATTTTCTCCTGGATATACTCCCAAAGGCAAAGCATCTGATAAAGCACAGAAAACTCCTCCTGTTGCAGCTCAGGTAGCTTTGTCTCCAGTGCAGAAAGTTAGTCATCCTAGTATGGACAGTCTGATCGGCAACCTTTCCAAAGAGCAGATTCAACATTTCATTGCTTTGTTCAGCTCTCAACTTCAGCCGTCTTCAGTCAATCATTCATCTGATGTG